AAAGAGTTATCTCCAAATCCCAGGGATTACCTTTTTTTATTAGCACATTGTTGTTCAATGCTGTGTGAATCCCCAAATTTACTTATTATTTCACGGCAGCTAAAACATCAGAGAGAGGTTTACGGAAGCAGGAGAACCCTCACATATGAACACAATTCACTGTGAAGAGGTTTACTCTATCCGTTTCAATCCAAACCCTTGAGATTAACTGAGCAGTGGATCAGACGGTCACCTCTGAATTACTCACATCCTCATGTTTAAGAATAAAATAAGGAGAACAGAATTATCATCTGTAAGGCACAAAATACCTCACAGATGGTGTATGAGAGAAGTGGATGAAATACTCAAATGTACAAGGAATGCATAGTTGTTATTGATAAATCAAACTTTATCACCAGTGGGGAAGTGCGGAAATGTCTACTTATTACCATTAGGAAGAATAGCATGGTTTCCTCAGCATGCATTAATAGCTTGATTTCCTCAGACCAGCAGGATTTCCAGAACCCTAACCAAATATGTTGCCCACCAATGGACAGGAAAATGTATTTCTCTTTTACTTCTGAGAGGGAGGGAGGGAGGGAGGGAGAGAAGGAGCGAGTGGACTCTGCCCGGTCGAAAGACTAGAAGGAAGGAAGCCGTTCTGTTCCTTTGAACGGTAAATAATATTTTTGTTGATAACTGGTAAGACTGGCTATATATACAAGGCTATATAATTTTGTTCTTTCTTTGTTCTTTCTTTGTTCTTTCTTTGTTCTTTCTTTGTTCTTTCTTTGTTCTTGTGTCCCTCTCCAAGGTTATTCTGTTTTGGATCTCCAGACTCCCTTCTTGGCATCTTTAGCTGGGAGGCCAGGCAAACTCTGCTTTTGTGCACAAAGACATTTCCTACGGTTTTTCGGGTCACGCCTGGCAACTATTCCCCTGTATTTCTGGAAATATCTGTGACACATTCAGGTAAAATAATGTAATACAGCAGTTAGTGTGATACAAGGCCAAGAGAGACCTATGTTCAAATCTGCAATCCAACTTCCTCATTGGGTTGTTGTGAGAATACACTGAAGGAAGGGGAAACTATATGTGCTCCCCAGGGCTTTTTTTCCTGGGGGAACGCTCCAGAACAGAGTTCCAGAACCTCTTTGACAAAATTCTTTTTTAAAATGTTTAAACGTTCATGAGTTTTCAGTGTACAGACTGAAAACTTCATTTCCCTCTTGAGAGTTCTGCCACCTCTTTTACCCCCCAAAAAAGCCCTGATGCTACCCTAAACGTCTTGGAGAAAGTAAGGTCTACAAATATATTGGATAGATAGACTTCAGAGACATTCAAAGGGAAATCATTGATGTTCCAGAAATAGAATTCATTTTCCTTTGGATTAAATCACAGATCTTGTAAGATCTTTTGGGGCAGTATCCCAACCAGGGGTCATTTCATAGGAAAAGAGGTGCAGGAGCTCATTCGCATAACTCATTAGCATAACTTATTTGCATATGTCACGCCCCCTGACATCACCAGAAGTGTGTCAGAAGACAACCCCCACCGCTCAGGCTCCACTGGACTGTTTTGGATTGCTAGCTATTGGGGGGGGGGACGTGCAGATCTGTCCTCACAGAGGAGGGAGAGCTTGTACCTGAATAAAACATGGTCTTAAAGGTGCCACTGGACTGTTTTGAGGGAGGGGGGCTGGGGGGAGCTCTGCAACTTACTTGGCTGCTTCTTGCTCTGACCGAGGGCTGCTGGGAGCAGGGGGTGGGGCTTGTTGCATGTGCCCGCCCCCTGGGCTCTTTACTGCCGGAGCTCCGCTTCTGTGCGCTCCTGCAGGAAATGACCCCTGATCCCAACCACATTTCAGTAGTAGAGAGAATATACATAATATATCCAAGATGTACTGTCTCCCAAGAGGTGTATTTCTCTTTTCTTTCACAGAAGAAAATGGCAAAGCTTGATATGGGGGACAGCAATGCCACCGTGGTGACCGAGTTCATCTTGCTTGGGATTTCTGAAGACCGCAGAACTCAGATGGTGTCGTTAGTTGCATTCTCTCTATTCTATCTCACCACGCTATTTGGTAACAGCCTTCTGATTGTCCTGATCATCCTGAGCCCTCTTCTTCACACACCAATGTACTTCTTTCTCTGCAACCTCTCCTTCTTGGACATGCTCTACACTACCAGCAGTGTTCCACAGTTACTAGTCAACTGTTTCCTCCGCCGACTCACTATATCCTATACCCGATGCATAACTGAGATGTACATTAGCCTCTTTCTCGGCATAGCAGAGTGTTTCTTGCTGGCTGTCATGGCGTACGACCGCTTTGCTGCCGTGTGCAACCCTTTGCATTACACAGTCATCATGAGTTGGAAAGTGTGTATCCAGTTGGCGGCCTTGTCTTGGGGCAGTGCCTTTGTGATGACCCTGGTCCCTAGACTGATTCAACCCACTCAGCTGTGTGGACACATCATCAACCACTTCATTTGTGAGCTACAGGCATTCCTCAAGCTGGCCTGCTCAGACACACGAGTGACTGAGATTGTCATCATGATCAACAGCGTTATTGTCCTTGCTGTGCCCTTTGCTTTCATCTTGGTGACCTACGGGCGCATTGCCCAGGCTGTGATGCGCATGCACTCAGCCAAGGGACGAGGCAAGGCTTTTTCAACCTGTGGGTCCCATCTGGTGGTGGTCTGTATCTTCTACGGATCAGCCCTCTCCATGTACATGCGGCCACAAGGCAAAACCGTCTCTGACCACGACAAAATTGTCGCCCTCTTTTATGGAGCAGTGACCCCAATGCTCAACCCTTTGATTTACAGCCTTAGAAACAAAGATGTGAAAGGAGCCTTTTGGAGACTGCTTGGGAAGAAAATATCTGAATGAAGTTTTTGCACTCCTGACTGTACCTCTATATATAAGATGGAAGACAAGCAACAGCCAAAGAGACTCAACATCTAACCAACTGCCAAATGTATCTCAGGCCCAGTCTGCACCTAGCATTTGCTC